AAATATGGAAAAGAAATGTTTGCCCATAGGGCGATGCTTTTGTAACTTGTTGGGTTTTTTAAAGAATAACAGAGATGATTTGACCCACCTCTCTTCTCTCTCTTCATCGAACTGAGTGGCACAATGTAAGGTTGTAAAGTAGAAAAAAGTTAAACATATTATTTATTCTTTTTCCAAGGCAGAACGTTTTCTTATAAATAATTTAACTGACCTTGTTTTCGTTTTTTCTTATACCTCTTTGAAGGTTTTATCCTATTAAGAATTTATTTCACGGGTTATTTAATTTTTTTTTTTATGGAAATAAAGATATAAACTAGTTGATTCAGATTTATTATACATCATTCTTTATAAAAATCGTCTTAAGAACTTCGTTTTTCGTTCAAAACTTTTCAAGGCCTTAAGAAATCGGCTATGTCAGTTCTAAACCCAAAAGCTTCTGTATCATATTTTAATTTGTTATCAAGTTTACTATGCATTTGTTTGTCTCAGAACGAAATAAGATTTCCTCTATTTCATTTAGTTTTTTTCTTCTTCATTAATTTATGTATTTAAAGTTGCGTTATTCATAATATATAAATCATAATTTGAGTTTTTAAGTTCAATATAAATACATGAGCAGCAGAACTTCGTCACTAAGATTCTATTTTCTACTTATTTTTAATAAAAAAAAAATAGAAAGGGATTAAATTATCTGTTTAATATTTTTAAAAAGCTATATATATATATATATATATATATATATATATATATATATATATATATATATATATATATATATATAATTATAAAAATTGTCATTGTAGAATTAGGACTCTACGGGTAGATTTGAGTGATAAAAAAAAAAAATTAAAAATGAAAAAAAAATAGATGTAGCAACTAAACCAATGAACCGATTTTAATAAAATATGGTCAAAGTCTGCTCCTCGAACAACTTTAAATTTAGGTTTACAATAAACTTTACGCAAAAGAAGCTGGAAAAAGTAATTACGACGTTAACATTGGATATCCGAAAAACACAAAAAGTATTAACTTTTTTTTCCGTTAATATTGTATGGTCGTGTAAAAGTATACTAAATTACCTAAATAAAAAATCGTTAAAACCGGACGATTTGGTGAAAAGACATGTTGTTCTAGATATTGTCCAAATAATAGATGATTGCACATCACTACATCAACCCTTTGTAAAAAACAAAATACCCCGTTGTAGAGAATTAGCATTAAAAGACTAGTATATTCAATAGAATAATAGAATATTAAAAGTATATTCAATAGAAAATATTATAAAGCTTTTAAAACAAACACAATTGTACCATAAAATATAATAATGAATGCAATACATGTAAAGAAACATGAGCGCTCCTACTATGGATAACAGCGAATAAATCAAACAGGTTTGCTGGTGATTTTCCCTAAAATTTATGTTTATCTGCTTATTACTGAAGTGTTTAATCACTACTACAAATGTTAAAAATTTTGCAACAATAAAAGAAAAAACAGTTCAAAATTTTAATCTTTATAACTATATTATTTCTCAAAGGTGTTTTTTGTCGGTACGCCCTTCATAATATCCAATGATTGACTACTCATTTTTTAAAATCTTCTCCTTCAGGTGGAAAAAATACACATATTTCCCTGAAATTTCAGGAAAACTATTATGAAGGAAAATAAAATTTGCAAATTTTGTCATTTGTTCATTAACCAATATTCTTTGCAAATTATTCGCTCGGGCGAACTAGTTTATAATTATTTCCATTTGAAATTAACAAAATTAATAAAATAACGTTTTAATTTTTATGAATTGTTACAAAGATGATGTAATAAACAATTGTTTTATTGTACCTTTCTATTTAGGTTTTTTACTTCATCACTATTTTTTGTTTATATATGTAATTTTTTTAAAAATATTTTAGTAATATCTATACTTTTGCTTATTGTTTTTTCAAACAATGAAAAATGTTCAAGATGTATACCAGTCAACAATCTCATTTTTAAGGTATTTTATTTACATTTTAATTTTTGAGGAACTTAAGGTTTCCTGAGAAAAATATTTATTTCTATAAAATTTTACTACAACATTAAATTATAATATTAAATACGTTATACAATAATTTTGAGATTGTTGAAACAAAAAAATATTCAAAAAACAAATTCTAAAGCGAAGATAAATTATATTAAATATTGATTCTTTATAGTTTATCTATTTTTTTTTTTTTCGGAAATGGAAATTCCATCAATTTACTCCCTTTGATACCTCCGTAACTATTGATTTTATGAAAAAAACATAGACTGGGCCATTTTTGTAGAAACGAAATAGTACTTTAATATTGCACTGAACAATTTTTGAGAAAAACCTTATAGTTTTTTAGATATTCTTAAAATAAAGTCAATTTTCAGTCCTTCCCGCCCCCATCAAAACCCGACGTGTTATCTTTTTACTAGTAATTATGAGAAGTTTATTACCTTCTCATAATTACTAGTAAAAGGATTTCTTACAAGTTTCATCTTAAGTTGGGATCTATTCCTAATCGCACCGTACTAATAATCTTTTTAATAAATTAGAGATGAATCTGAACATACTCTTTAACAAACTTCAACTTAATTAATATAGGCTTAAAGCTCATCAAATAAAGAAGTTTTCCTAAAAGTGTGGAGTCTTCAGTCCAGTTGGGCGATCATAAAAAAATCTGAAATAATTCTCGATTTTATAAAAGACGTAAAACCGCAGTTTAACTCCTTTAAAGTCCCCATTAAATAATTTTCAAAAAGACAAAATACACTTGCATTTAATATAAATTTTATCTATTTCATGATGAAGTAATTGGTTGTGACCTAATTAATTTTTTTTATTACTTTTAATTTACTAAAAACCGTGATTAACTTCAAAAAAAGATTTCAGGTTTTTTGTATGAAATCACTCTATGGTTTATAGTTTTTTGTTGTATTTTTCAAGGTATGATATCACACAGTATCAATTATATGAAATCAATGTCTAAACTTCATATGACTTTTTTGAATCTTCAAATCATAGAAACATTTAATAATAATTAGAACTAGCGAAAATCATATAAAAATGAAATAAACTTCAAAATGGTATCATCTACTATGAATAATATAAATTTCATGGTTTAGGGCATTTTTTTCTAAATGTGGAAATACAATGAATATAATCACATAAATATCTCCGTAACTAATGATTTTATCAACAAATGTATATGATCATTTTTGTAGAGCTTTCAAAGCACTATAATATTGTAATAAACAATCTTTAAGAATAATCTCATAGTTTTTGAGATATCCACAAAATATCACAAAAAAATATTCGCGAACATATGCGGTGTCCTTTATAGTTGCTCTGCTCGTCGCTCTTATAGTGTCATCGCTCTACTACATGGTTACCCCAAGACAACTCGTAATCTAACCTGTTCTAAAGCAAAATTGATTTTTGCCTTGTCTTAAAGAAACTGTATGACGAATCTTTTTAATTACTGGACGGATTTTGATGAAAGTTTTTTCATCGATTAGGAAATTGAAATGTCTTCAAATGTTCTAACGCAAAAAAGTGCACCCTTTTTGAGTTATTCGCAAATAAAATTTTGTATTCGTCAAAACTCCTTTTCTGGTCTTTTTTGAAGGAAGTATATTATATACATAAATTTATGGTGTTTTATGAGGAATACTTTAGGAAAGTTTTTATCAATATCGTTACAGCCGTTTTAGAACTGTAGTCTGTAGAGAACCAGGCTTTTCCTAGTGTGAGTCCTCCCAAAGGCACCTCTCCAACACCAACTTAATATATATACAAAACTTCAACCTTCCAACTTTGTTAGGAGGAGCTGTGAAGATGCGCAATACTTTAAAAACAGGGAAAAACGTTCTTTTTAACGTTACGTTAAAACGTAAAATTTTAACGAATATTTTCCAAAGTGCAATAGTATTGTTTCGCCTGGGAATGTGAAACCGAATTTCACGTTATTAGGTCGAACAGAGACCGCTGGAGAAGCCGAAATGAAGCAGGGAAAAAAGATATATACTACTGACATCTCTAGGGGGTCCAAAACGGATAGTAAGCGCAACTACGTCTTCCACTGACGACTTCCGATACAGTGCATATAGTCTATTATTTTCCGAAGGAAAAAAGACAAAAAATGAGCCCATTGCCTAGCCATTGTATAAAAATCATAGTATGAATATTAACAGAATACACTCCAAATTATAATTATTTTTTACTAGAAGATTAAAATGCCGCAACACTGCGCATCCTGTTATTCCGAATATAATATTTCATACTTATTTACTTATCAAAAAACATAGCACGCATTGAATTCAATAATAACGCCATTGAGTAATGAGAAATACTTTTCAATCTCCAGCGATCTAAGTAATTGTGTCGCGAAAAAACGGTGAAAATAAATATCCAATTTATAAAACCAATTTCTATCTGAATGTTTGTCCTTTTAATGGCGTTTTAAGAGACGGAGGAGAAGAAAATTAAATTTGATTTTATTAATGTTAACAATACATTTCTTCAAAAGGTTATATTTCCAGGAAGAATATATAAGCCATTTTTTTCCTTCAATTCATATATTTTTTAAAATCACGTTTCAAATTTTTTCCCCATTTTCATTTCAATACAATTTCTTTTTGGTTGTAATTGTTGTCAAATATTCCATTGAATCCATCATTTTAGTGTTTTAATTTATTTTGAATAATTAAAAAAATAAACTTATACTTCAAGAAAATGTGTTTGTTTCAACAGAATGGAAACACGCTCAATTTTGAAAATCCCAAAAAGTGAATTAAAGAATTTTTTAACCCAACGATTCATAATACCAAGGTTTTGTCTTTTGAAATTTTATTGGATCTATAACTATGAATGCTGGGTAAAAGTAAAGTAAAATCGGACAAAAATTCAAATGGCAAAGCGGAACTTGAATATTAACACATTTAACGCATATTGTGTCTGATGAATAAACCTTACTAGATTGCTTTATATATTGTTGTGAAACGAGTTAAATATCCAATTTTTAGAATTTAAGAACATATGAACATTCATTTACAGATGACTTTTAGACTTTTATCATGATAGGTTTATTTGATTTGTTCCTTATTTTAGAAAAATACTCCTAGTTAAAATGTAATTCATTCACAAACCGTAAACTGAAGCAATGGATAATTTAAATTATAAATTCGAAAATTATCTTCTGAAGCTTGCTAGATCAAAACGGATGAGCTATGAAATGATGCACAAGAAAAAAGAAGCGTTGTTTTGGGCTATGGTAAATATGTTATGCATTATAATAGTTCCCGTGTTGTTATCGTTTACATCCTTTGGAATACCTGTTGTCAAAATGATAACCAATTTAGGTCTTTTATCTAATCTTTTTATGCATACGTACGTTATACTAAGGAACCCTAAATCACTGGAGCAAGAAATGTCGGAAGACAAATTTTCTTCTCAGCAACCAGGGCAAAAAGAAAAGATTTTGGTAAAACTACTTCGACCACCGAAGACTGTGCAAACTTCATCTTTTGAACTCCCTTCTCTCCAAGATTCTCCAAGCCCGGTTGCGCCACAACAGATTACGTATGATGTTGAGACAGAAATCATCTCTAGGTATTTCAAAATGGAAGCTGGAGTCCTGATTACGCCTAAGGGAGTGGTCATCAAACATTGCCGGTGCCCTGTCCTAAACTACAAGTGTCGACTGTGCCCTTTCAGGACTTACCCCTTGGCCTACTTCAAGTCCTGGTTCTGGGGTACGGCTGGATTAGCAAATGAGGAGTGCCCTTACTGCGGGGTAGGTTTCATAATGTTCAAAGATGAATACGAAACCCTCTTGAAGGGAAGTTACCCTCTCCATCATTGCATTTGTCATTGTTATTATTGTAAATATGCAAAGCACCGACCTCTTAGACCGCGCGTTAATCTTATACCTGATATTAATCACTGTTCCTGCATATGCCGCCAGTGTAGAGGCATTGAAGATATTGTTCATGGAATTCAACCACTTGAAGATGGAAAACAGTTTAGAATTTTCCAAATTCCTCTTTCCAACTCTCACGAGGAGAAATCATCACACTCCCTTCTTTCTCGAGTAACTACTTCTTTTAATTCTCGACAATTCCCTTTAAAAAGTCAGATATTAAGAAATATTATTAGTATTGGAGATTGCAAGAATCTACAGATCCATAGTGAAGTATGGAGAAGATTTGGAATTAATCCTTTTAATCTCGTGACATGGATAGCAAACCTCAGAGCATGGGTTTCGAACACGATACTAAAAAGGTTAGTGGAAGAAATGGCACTAATAGACCACAAATTGCAGTGGCATGGCTTGTCGTTGATCACAATTGGAGAAGTCGGCCTTGATATCCTGAGAGCTACTGCTTATTCTGAACAGATTTCCAGAGAGATCCCTTCGTTAGCTCAGATGCTGCCATTTCTGGAGATCTGTGCCAACCAACAATACGTGGTGCAAAGGATCAGAGAACTCGCTGTGGGAAACAACATGCGAGAGTTCTCAGGCCAGTCGACGGGGAACTGTAGGGACCCAATGTGGAGCGGCTACGTACCCTCTGATTCAGAATTAGTTATGCATTTAGTGATGACCTACTTGGATGCCATGCTACCACCGATGGATTTAGAACCACGGAAACGAACATTTTCGACGGTGTTTTTTTCGAAGAGCCCTAAGATGCCTCCTCAGAATGAAATTGCCATAATCCAACAAAACGCACGCCCGACATCTTATCAAGTTCTTGTTAAAGGAAAAATTTGTCCAATACCGACGGGCCATAACAACATTTTTTTCACTCTTCTCTTGTTCATTCATTGCATTAAAAAGTTCCACCAGTCCACTCTCGGTAAGACGAACATTGGTCCAGCGGGTCTGAATATGTTGTGGATCATAGATGATGTGTAAAACAGGAATTATATTTATAATTTTAATTCTTCGAATATTTTGTTAACAAGTAATTCACGCTTTTTCGTAAATGAAATTTTATTGTTTAATATTCAGAATCACTTAACTTTGTATTTCTTTCAGTTATGCAATATACGTGGTTGTGTGTGTTTATGTATATAAAGATATCTCTATTCAGCAAATAAAATATTAAATTAAATTTTACCTATTCTTAACTAGTTGATAAATCAATTAAATAATAAAATATTTTATTATATAAAATATTGAGTAAAAATTATTGCATTTTGTCTGATCTCTTCACAGAACTTGTATATTATAATAATTGTATAGTTGTCGCTTTAACCAGTCCTCCCCATCTCAGTCTGTTATCTACATGCAGCTCTGCAGATTATATACATTTTTTTTTTGTCTATAAAACATGCATTTGCGCCTGTCAACAATAAGTTGACAATCAGCAAATGTGATGGCGATAATGATATAATGACATGACAGGCATGGGGAAGGAAAGTACTCAGCAGTACCTCATCCCTAACTTGTTCCAATTACTTAGGTTGTCTAAGGAAGGAGATCCCTCATCCAACGCCTTTTTAGTCTCCTGCTCATGTTCTGAGGTATGTCAGCTGTGGCCATGTCTCTTATAAGTCTGTTATTATGTCCATTTAAATTTGTGTAAAATCGTTGATATAGGGTCGTTATATGTTGGTCAACTGTTGGAAAGTGGAGGTCAGTATGTAGAGTTTTGTTAGTCACGTACAAAGGTGCTTTTGTTATGAGTCGCAATAATTTTGATTGGAACGTTTGAAGTTTTTGTAGGTGGGTCTTTTTAGCGATGCCGTATATTTGTGATGAGTATGTCCATATGGGCTTAAGTAAGTATGTATATGTATTCAGTTTCTGTTTTCGTTTTAGTTTTGAAGATTTGGCAAAAAGAGAGTAAAGTAGTTTGAGTCGTTTGTTAAGTGTCATACGTTTCATTTTAACATGTGGGCCCCATGTCATCCTTCTGTCGAAGGTGAGTCCAGGGTAAAGTACCGTGTCCGTTTGAGGAATTTGATTGTTGTCAATATAAACTGGAGGACAGGTGTTTTTTCGAAGAGTAAATGTTATATGTTTGGATTTGTCATGATTAAGTCGAATTTTCCATAGTGTGAACCAATCTTGTAGTATAAGCAAATGATGTTGTAGAGTTAGTGAGGCCTGTGTAGGGTCTTGATGTTTTGTGAGGATTGTTGTATCGTCTGCATATGTAGCTGTCAAGATCTCATCGTCAATAGGTATATCGTAAGTGTATATAACGTAAAGTAGAGGGGCTAGTATTGAACCTTGGGGAACTCCGGCCAAGATTGGACGGACTGAAGACACTTCCGAGCCCTGCTGAACTGAAAAAAATCTGTCGAAGAGGAAAGATTGAAGGATAAGATAGTACGTATATGGAAGTATAGTCTTTAGTTTAAAGAGAAGACCCTGGTGCCAGACTCTATCAAACGCCTGAGCAACATTCAAAAATACTCCAGTTGCATATACTTTTAGTTCTAAAGCTCCAGCAATGTAGTCTGTAACTCTGTGCAATTGATGTGTCGTCGAATGAAATGTGCGAAAGCCGAATTGGTGGTCAGGTATTACCTGTTGGTCAGTCAATATGTCAACAAGTCTTTTCTATATTAATTTTTCAAAAACTTTAGAGCATATAGGAAGGAGGCTAATGGGTCTGTAGGATAAAGGACTGTATATGTCTTTACCGGGTTTGTGAATCATCTTAATAAGTGAGTACTTCCATTGTAAAGGAAATTTTGACGTCCTTAGTATACAGTTGAAAATTGTTGTCAGAAATACTAGAGCTTTCTTGGGCATTTGTTGGAGTGCTTCGGCTGTTATTAAGTCATAACCAGGAGCTTTTCTTTTCGGTAATTGTTTGATTTGAAGTGCAACCTGAGATGGAGTAAAAGAAGGAGGTGGTAGTGTCAGCTGAAGTGGGATGTCTAATGTGTTAAGTACTATAGTCTCATGTTCTGTGTTAGTGAAGTTTGTAAACGGTTTAAATACAGAAGAAAGGTGGTGAGCGAAAAGTTCAGATTTTTCCTCATCCGACACCGCCCAGGATCCATCTTCTTTTCTAAGTGGTGCTGACAGCTCTCGGTGATTTAACAACTTTTTGGTATGCTTCCACAAGCTCCCATCGTCAGTCGAAAGACCACTGATGTATGCGTCATAGTTAGTTCTGTTAAATTTTTGGATTTCTCTTTTAAGTTGATTGTTTAGTCGGTTAAATGTCTGTCTATCTGAAGGGTGTCTGTCAGTCTGCCATATTTTACGCGCTCTTCTCTTTGCTGTGATTAAGTCCCTTATGTACTGAGGATATTTCGGCAAGTGCTCAGTTGTTGCAGAGTTGAGTTTTGGTATTGATAATGTCCAAGCAGCTTGGTGAATATTTTTTGGTGAAAGTTTCCACAGCCTCCTCCAGTTCTTTTTCACCTTTTATGGACACTGGGATCAAAAGCGAAGAGTTTAAAAACTCTCTATATGCATTCCAGTCGATTGGTCCATTGATGAGAGCTGGTATTTTTTGCACGTTGACGGCCTCATCGAGTACAATAAGGTGTACCGCTGAATGATCAGAGTAAAGATCAGAGCTCGTACTTATGGAATGAGGTACAGTACGCAGTCCTTTTGTAATAAAGAAGTCCAAAAGGTCCGGGGATTTGAGTCTCGATACAGGCCAGTATGTTGGTGGGTTAGGATTTATAGTGTCTAATGAAAGCTCGTGGATAGCAGCCCTCAAATTTCTTCCTCTTGGTGTGCATAGTCGTGACCCCCAATGTTGGTGCTTTGCGTTGAAGTCACCACCTGCTATGAAACATCGACCTAAGCTTTGGAAGAAGTTGCAAAACATCGAAGATGTCAGCACATATCTTGGAGGACAATAGATGGAAGCTAGTGTGAATGTGTTGTGTTTCATGTATAGTGTGATGCCTGTGGACTGAATGTCAGGTGTAGTTGGTAAGTGTAAATGGTTGTGTGATAAAGAAGATCTTATAAGTATAGCAGTGCCGCCGTGGGCAGTGTTGTCAGGGTGGTCTGTCCTGTGTGTCACATAGCCAGAAATACCGAATTTTGATCGTGGTGTAAGGTGAGTTTCCGTTATCAGGGCTACATCTATACGTTTTTCATGAAGATAAAAGTCCAGTTCAGTTTTGTGTTGTGCCAGTCCATTTGCATTCCACAGAAGGATGGACAAAGAGCCTGCAGTCAGCTGATTAGCGGCCATTTTGTGGATACATGGCTTGAGTCACCTGTGCAAGCTGTTGGAGGATACTAAAAAGGGGCTGTATGAGGGAGTTTAAACCATTGAGTAATTGGAACAATTGAGGTGGGGCATTATTTTCAGCTGAAGGTGGCTGCTGAGTAGTTTCCCGCCTCATACCTGAACATGATGGTTTGATGTGAGCAGATGTAGTAGCATTATCTCTTTTTGTCATCTGGTTTCTTGATGGTTCCTGCAGCTGAGCTGGCGTAGCCTTCTGCGAAGAATTTTTTTGTATCGGCTGCTCTTTTCGCAAGGGCTGCTGAAGAGTCGGAAATTCTTCGAAACTTGGTGGTGGAGGGAGAGGTGGGGATCTAGGAGGATGGTTGGTTCTTGCTGTTCTCCTATGCGCCCTCAGATCCTTCAGGACTTGGCATCCTCGGTAGTTGGCCGGGTGGTCTCCAAGGCAGTTTGCGCAGGTTGCCTTTGTCTCTCTGGTCTTTAGGCAGGATACACTTTCGTGGCCTTGGCCACATTTAACACATCGTGGAGAATGGTTGCAATATGATTTTGTATGACCATATTGTTGGCATCTTATACACTGAGGTATAATTCTTTTTTTTCGAGGCTCCTCTACAACAATTTTTGTATAATAAATTAATTCAATTTCATAAATTTTTTCATTGAAAGTAGCCTTTGTTATGTCTATGAAAAACATGGGCAAAGGTTTTTTGAATCGAGAGTATACATTTGTGATGTTTGTTGCAATGTAACCATGTTTTTCTAAATCATTTTTAATTTCAGAGATTGGTGTGGTGTGGTGCAAAATTTTAATAACAATTCTTCTATTTTTGTCCTCAGGTAGCTGATATGTGTGGAATTCAGCACCTCCATTTCTAAGACTACTAACTAGTTTACGATATACGTCAGGTGTTTTCGGGTAAACTGTTACACCTTTGATAGTTGTTTTCAGAAAAAAATGAATTTGGAGCTCCGTTGTTTTCAAGGAATAGGACTAATGCCTGATAATTTTGAACTTCATTTATGTGTATTGGAGGTGGTTTTTCGTTTGTTTATCATTTACTGCGGATTGTTCATTTTCGGTAATGGTATTAAGTACATCATAAGAATTACTTACAGATATTGGCGTTGCATTTTCTGTTTCAGTTTTTTTGTATTTTCTCGGATCCCTAGATTCATTAGGAAAATATCTTTTTTATACATTTTAAATTTTTGTTAATCAAGGGTCTCATTTTATACAGTGCTAAATGTTTTTTCAAGGGTTACTTAATATTAATTAAATAAACATCTACTAGACGTACGAAAAACTAGAGATTGAAAATTCGATTATTTTAATTGAATAGATTTTTAGTGATTCAATCATTGTGATGAATCGCTTCTCCGATTGATTATTTTTATGTTTCTTTAAATTCAAAAACAACTTTTTATTGAAAAAAAACAAAGTAGTAACAAACATTCTCAACCTCATGTTTATTCAGGCACAAATATTTTTTTTTAACTGATTCAAATTAAAAGTCCTGGTTTAAATACATACAAATAAAAATTCATGAAGCTTATAAATATCAAGGAAATATGAATTGGACAGAAAAAGATTTTTTATTTAATTATACATTTTTTTAAAAACTTGTTTATTGAAAATATTACAATCTGTCTCAAAGGACATTTATAATACTGTTCAGAGATCACATTCATACTTTATGTACAAGAAATAAAATAAATTATACAGACAAATAATATAAATATACAATACATAAGAATAAAATAACCTAAAAATTAGTAAATTAAAAAAAACACATACATACTGATATAGACCAGAAGATCTCTGTACTTCTCTCTCTCTAACTTTTGCACTAACAGTAGTGATATTTACTTAATAG